CTCCAACTCCCGTCTGATCGACACTCCAAAGAGCTTACTCCAGCCAATTCATAGCCATCAAAACAAGCGAAGGTGACCGTGCTAGGAAACCAATTGTGAGTGCTGCTCACGGCACCATACGGCGGTGCCGTGAGCGTTTCACATGGCACACCAGTACAGGCTGGCACAGACCCGCTCCATGTGCCATCTGTCTGGCAGGTGCGCGTGCCATCCGCTGTCAGCGTGTAACCGGCTTGGCAATTGTAGTTTGCAGTGGCGGGAAAGTTGCCGTTGTTTGACACGTCCAATTCACCGTTCGCTGGTGCCACGAGAGGGTCACACGGAATCGCGGTGCAGGTTGGTGCCTCATTATTCCACATCATGGCGGTGCCAGACCAAATGCATGTGGCCTCGGTATTGCCCGAAAGAGTGTAGCCGGCGTCACATGCGTAAGTGAGGGTCGCACCCACGATCGGGTTGCTGCTAGAGCTAGTCGCCGACCCATGAGCAAACACGGGCAGGGATGGGCAAGGTAAGGCCACGCACATGGGCGCAGAGCCGGACCATTCGCCGCTGGCTTGGCAGGTGCGGCTCGCTGGGCCGCTTCGGGTATAACCCTCATCGCAAGAAAACGTGGCTACGCTCTCAAAATCAATGCCACCGCTCGTGTCCACAAAGCCATTGCTGAGCGCGGGCAGGTCCCCACAAGAGACACGGGTGCAAATGATTTCTGCTCCTGCCCAGGTCAGCGCCGGTGTGCACGAGCGACTTGCATCCCCACCGGTCTGCTCGAATCCGGCAACACAGCTGGAACAGGATCAAGATCAACACAGGAGGAACGACATGAGGCTACTCGCGAGGCAAGCCTGACTGACAACACGCCTCTCAACGAGCCGGCAGGTGCACTTACGCAAACGTTGCGATAACGGGATAGCGTCGCTCTGAATTGCTGTACGTGAGCACGGCGCTGCTGACTGCGGGCAAAGCGGGGCAGACTAGACCCACGCAGGTGCCCTCTGCGGAGCCCCCACAGCCAGTGCGGGTGTAGCCACTCGGGCAGCCAGGGCATGGGTAGCAAGATGTAGCGTATGTCTGCGATTGTGGTGGGGCAGAAGCAGAGGAGGACAAGTGGAGAAAGCACATACGCACAAAAGAGGCATTCAAGGTGTGAGAAGGCGGATTCTTGATCTATGCGGGGCTTGGAAAGAGGCTGACGCAGTCCGACCTGCTGGCTTTGGTAGAATCCGCTCGCGCAGGCAACGCAGGTTCCTGCGCTTTCACCACCGCAACCGTCACGATAATAGCCCGGACTGCAGGAAGCGCAGGATGGGCAGGTGCGTGATTGGTGTGCAGTTTGGCTCTGATAGGTGCCTGAGTTGCACACTTGACAAATGCCCGGGCCAGTGGCACCAGCGCAATTGGCAAGATACTGGCCTTTGCCACACGTTCTGCAGTTTGTGCAGCTGGCCAGGCGGTGCGAGGAAGAGGCTTGATAGGTGTTGGCTGGGCAGGAGGAGCAGGCACCAGCAGATGGACCAGCACAACCCGATTGATACTGGCCAGTGCCGCAGACCTTGCCCGTGGCGGCGCAAGAAGAGCAAGACGTCAGGATGTGACTGTTTGTAGTTTGAAAAGTTCCACTGCCACATGCGGCACACGAGCCACCACTTGATGTGGTGGCTCCAGACTTGAAGGTGCCCGCCGGACAGGTGGGCCACGGCGTGCACGAGGTAGTGCGGTGGGCAGAGGTGGCAATGTAGGTACCGTAACTGCAAGTGGTGCACGAGCCGGCCGAGAAGATGTTACCCGAAAAATAAGAGCCTGCTCCGCATGTGTTTTGAGCCAAACAGCTGGTGCTGCGGTGGGCGTTGGAAGACTGATATGTGCCGCCTCCACATGCCTACAGAGACCAGATGATGTAAGCGCGCAAGGGTGAAGGCTGTCACCTGTGCTAGTATTGTTCACTCTTTCTAAGCAACACAAACCGTGCATGCAAGTCCTGAGTTGGCGTTGCACGTGTAGAATTGACCGGCATTGCAAGTAGAGCACCGTGTGCAGGCCGTCTTGTATACACTGTTTTGAGACTGATAGTAGTTGGTTGCGCATGCCGTGCAACTTCCAGCGGCAGCGCCTGCACAACCAGTGGTGTAGCGACCCTTGTTGCACTTGGTGCCGCTACTGGAACATGACAGGCATGATGTGGCGCCCGTGGACGGTTGAAAGGTACCCTGGAAGAAAACCAACCGCAAACCCCGGTAAGCAAGGTGTTGACAACAACGGGTGGTTAGAAAATGATCACACTCCCGAGCATTGGAAGGGAATGCTTTTGTTCCACGACTACCCACCGAGGGGCAGGTTGGACACGGGCTTGTGCGCGACGTGCTACCACTGTATGTGCCTGCTGCACAGTTCTTGCAAGAACGTGACAAGTGACTTGTCTGATCTTGATATTTTCCAGCTGTGCAATCTGGTGAGCCATTTGGGTTCAAGCCCAGAAGATAAGAGAGATATACGGTGCATTGAGTCGTGATAATGAAATGCAAAGGGCAAGCGTAATTTCGCGAGCGCCTACCTCGGCACCCGCTGGTGGCAATGTTGAGACTGTTACCCCCCTGAAAGTAGTGGCCAGCGCGGCAATTGCAGGAGTTGCATCGCGTCTTGCCCGAGTTCTATTCGTAACATGGTGACCGGTCGGTGGTGAGGGCAGTCGTTTCTCTTTCACGTGCTGTGCAAGCCGGC